GAATCTTGGGAAGCTTTGCAAAAACATCCTGGCCTGGCAGAACTCCCAAGATAACTGCAAGCATTATTGATTTGGGGGTGGCACGATGACGTGGCCGGGGTGCTGGGCTGGTGGGGATAATTTTAGCTGTGCAGCCAGGCAGTCCTTCCAAGGGACAACTTTGTTTTCCAGGAGACGCAGAACCTTTATCTCTTCAAATACCGTGGCAATAATTTGTGTCCTCAGCGTGCTGCTGAGCTCTGATCTGCTGTGTGAGCCTGGTCAATGGTGCCATTCAGCCCACAAAGGGTTCTCTGTGCTCGGGCAAACGCTGCCGTACGGAGCCACGCTGGGTGTGGAATCCGGGCAGACGGGGATGCCTGGGCTGGCAGCAGTGCCCAGCGCTCTCCTGGCTGCAGGGCCAGGCTGAGCCGGGGCTCTGGCACCTCCTGCACCTCTTGGGCCATCTTGGGCAGAGCTGCAGGTTATTCTGTGCTTTGGCACACCTGAGCGGTTCTGGAGCGTGGTTTGTAGGAATGTGTGTTTGTGAACTTGCCGTGGTGGGGTTTGGCCTCCCTGGGTGTGCTGCTGAGACCAGGCTCAGCTGGAGGCTGTGTGTGTGGAGCAGGCACCCAAATGGGGTCTGGGGAGCTGTGGGGCTGCATCAGCCATGCTCTGCCTGCCTGGGGGGACTGCAGGGTCTGTGCCCTTGGCCCTGGTCCTTGGGGTCACCTTGTGGTCTTTGGCATCCCCTCACCTCCATCTCTGGCGTGTGCCAAGCCGTGGCAGCCTCTCCACGGCTTCTGTGCAGAAGGTGAGGGCAGGAGCTGTGCTGGAGGTGGGGTGGGCTCTGCCCATCTGGTTTTATAGATTTGCTCAGGATGATTCAGAGGGGGAACCTGCCAGCAGCTGCCGTCCCATCCTAAACCACTGATTAACTCCAACCACCTGGTGGAGAAGTTGTTTAATAAACAAATCAGTGCTAATTCTGCATGGAAGCGACTCTGGGATCAGGCCCAGAGCAGCGCGTTGTCTCGTGGGAGTGGGGCTTTGTTGACCTTGCTGGGGAGAGCAGAGAGGGGATTTAAACCTTCTGGAGCAAATGAAGCGTTTGATGATGCTGCCCTGGCGCTTGGTGCTGACCCCAGTGCTGTGAGGGCTGGGGCTGGGCGGGTAAAGCTCCATTCTGGCAGCTGCAAACTCTGTGTGCAGCCAGGAGCTCCTTGTCACTGCATTCCTGCACGAGCTGGGGACCGGCTTGGATGAGTGTCCCATGCAGGGTGCTCACATCCAGGGGCCATTCCCAGCTCTGACCTTTCCCAAAGCCCTTCCCTGGGTATCCCTGAGCTGCAGGAGCGTTGTGTGACCCCAGGGAGGGGTGCTGTGCTCGCTGTGGGGACAGACACCATATTGCTGCTTTCTAAGCACCCTTGGCAGGCTGTAATCCTGGTTTGGCCGCCGATTAGAGCGGCTGCTCCCTGGATTACCCATCCTGGCTGGCCCCTGTGCCTGCTCCGTGCTGGCTGTGGGGCTGTGCAGGTGCTGTGTCCTGTTCCCTGCAGCCAGCTGTGCACTGCTGACCCCCAGATGTGCCCTGCTTGGGGCAGGGGGCTGCTGCTGGGAACGGGCATTGCCCTCCTGTCCCTGTCCAGGGGCTTGCAGGGGACAGCCTGAGCCTGCTGCTCCTGTGTTCTGTGCTGTGGGGAAGGAAGGGGCAGGAGTGTCAGTTCCTGTTGTCCACTTGAACATTAAATATAGGCTGTTAAGCAGTTTTCTTTGCAGGAAGTGTAGAAATCCCGCTCGGTGTGAGCGGAGCCCGGAGCTTGCCTTGCAGCAGCATCCTCTGCCCCTTCTGCAGCAGCATTAACCCTTCATGGCCAGACTCAGCAGCAGCCTTGTCTTTAACCTGAACCCCCCATCCTGCTGCTCCTCCCCTGTCCTGGGTCCGGCTGAGCCAGAGCTCTTTGCTCTTTCCAACTCATGTGGCAAACTGGCTGCAGAGTCAGCTCTGGGGAGAGCCCCCAGCTCTGGGCCAGCAGCTGCACTTTTCCCTGGCTGACCTGATCTTTCCAACTCGGGGTCAGGCAGCAGGAGCAGGCAGGGGGGGACATTTGCCTGCCTCCATCTCATTTTGATGTGCTGGGGCTCCCCTCGGTGTCCTGTCGTTGTTTCTGGGGTGCTGACTGCAGGCCTGGCTGGGATGGGGTGGGATGGGGTCACCCCTGGGGTGCTGCACTCAGGGAGGAGGGTTGGGAAATCAGGACACTTCCTTCTACAAATGGCCTTTCTCAGTCATTCCAAATTCCTTTGGAAGAGGCTTTTTATGTAAAAAGCAACCACTTCAGTCTCCTTGCAGTAACAGCAGCCACTTCCCAGAAAGACCAAACTCTCAATAGCTGAGGAGGAGGGGGACACGGGGAGCACGAGGTGCTGCTGGTCCCTTGCAGGATTCCTGGGGCTGGAGAAGGTCCCTTCAGGCAGGTTTGGAGGGAGCCCTGGAGCTGGAGGTGTGTGCCTGGGGTGGAATTCAGGCTGATCCCTGGCTGCAGAGGAGGAGGAGAGCAGGGTGACCCCATGGCTGGCTGTGAGGGAGCAGGGACAGGCAAAGGGGTTATCTGAGGCTGCTTCCAGGAAAAGCTGCTGCCCTCTGACCTGCTGGGAGCTGTCCCCCTTCCTGCTGCTCCTGAGGTGCATGGCCAGGGTGCATCTCTTTTAAAAGGACATTTTATTTAGGCCCTTGGTTGCTGTAGCTGTGCAGGTGGATTTGTGTGTGCCAGTTTTCCCAAAGGGATTGTCCCATCCTCCCCAGCCCAGGTGGGAAGAGGGAGCCATGGGAGGTGATGATGATGATGATGATGATGATGATGATGATGATGATGATGATGATAACCTGATCAGGTTGTGTTGCTCAGGCAGAAGGATTTTTCAGGCTTTTTGTGCTGTTTTTCCCTGCAGCTATGGTTGACTGATCAAGCCAGCAGAGAACTTGGAAGGAAAACTTGCCAGCCCTCGGTGCAGCCCTGGTGTGACTCATGTGCAGTGTCAGGGTGGTTTTGCTCGTGCATGAGAGGAAGCAGCAGATTCTGTTGAGCCTTTGCAGGATTTTGGGTTTGCTTTTTCACAGCCCTGGGAAAGAAGAACCCTCAGGATCCGAGGCTCATTGAGGGGCTGTCCTGTTCTCCCTGTGCCTTCCTGCTTCCACAGCAGGGCTGTTGATTTGATTTTGGGCTATTGTCCCAAAATGTAGGTGAGGGGCTCCAGCTTTTATGAAGAGGGGATGCTGGGGCATGGGAGGGTCTGACAGCAGCCCAGGGAGGATGTGGGGCCCCACAGGGTGGGCACAGCTGCCCCTCTCTCCTTTGGCCGATCCTGCTGCTAATTTTATCCTTTATCACTGTCACTCCAGGAGTTATCTCCCTCTCCCCCTGCCTCTCCCTTGCCTATTTATAAGCACCGTGGGCCACTGCTGTCAGGGCTGCTGGCTCCAAAGGCTTCTTGGCCTTGCCTTGCCTCGTGCCTGGTCCCAGAGCTGCTCCTCACTCTCAGGTGGAGGAGAGGCTCAGCTCATCCCCCAGCTGTTCATCCCTGTGCTGCAGCAGCCTCCAGCTCTGGGGTCCTGCCCAGCCTGGGGTGGGCACGAGGGCTGTCACATCAGGCCTGCTTGGCACATGGAATGTGGCCAGGGGCTCGGGGTTTGGGGGTCAGCAGGGGCTGGGGGGGAGGAAATGGCTCCTCAAATCATTAACATCATCTTGGTGGTTATTCCAGGGCAGGCAGGAGGGGCTGGCTGAGAGTCCCCGAGCCCTGTGCTGCCCCAGCAGTCTCTGGGGAGGGAAGGAGGCTGTTCTGCTGCTGACACCAGCACGGGCACGTGGAAGGGAGCAGGGAGAGCTGCACGGGTCCCAGTGCCCTTTGCTCAGCCCTGAGCTGAGCTGGAACAAACCCTCCCACCTTCCCGAGTCTCCCTTCTCAACCCTGCCCAGGAACACCTGGAAGCTTCCCCCAAAAACTGGGGGCTTTTCCCAGTGGGGGCTCCTGGCACGGGAAGGGTGTAAAAGCCATGCTCATTCCATCCTCCAGGGAGCAAAGTGCAAATCCTGTTACGTGTGAACCTTTTCCTTGAAGAAGCCCCCTCTGTACTTTTCCACTGGGAAAGCTCCCGGGGATTTCCCTGTCCCTGCCTGCCTTGGCTGGCTGATTTCCTGCTGCCTTAGGAAGCACTTGTGTGAAGGCAGCCAGGACTGGACTGGGCAGGATTAACCCCAGGGCTGTCAGCAGCGATACTGGGAAAACAGCTTTAATGCTTGGAGAAAGTTGCCAGCTCCCTTATCCCGTGGGGAAAGCAAACCACTTGGACTCTGCTGTGGTTATCTCTTGGCTGTTGGTGTCTGAGAGGAGGAAATGGCCTCTGTGTGCACACACGTTTTCCACTGATGATGGGAAAGGGGGAAAATCCATGGAATTTTGGGTTTTGAGTGAAGAAACGCACGGGGAAGTGAACGCTGTGTCTCGCTCCCAGCGGCGGTGCCGGCAGGGACACGGTGGCCCCGTGGTGGCCAGGACAGGCTGTGTGTGCCAGGTTAACAGGGCTGCTCTGGAAATCCTGCATCCACTCAGGTCACTGCCAGTAAGAACTTAATAGGATCCAGATCTCGGGGAGAATCTGCAGCTTGGGCAGCAATAAAGCTCTGTGCTGCTGTCCTCCCTCAGTGGGACAGGATGGCACAGCTGCCATCTCTTGGGGGGCAGTGTCACTGTCTTGTCACCATTGCTGCTGCCCTGTGGCTCTAGCTCTGAGCTCTGGGGTGCCTCTTTTGGTGTTGTGGGGTTTCATCTCCTGTGGGATATTTTGGGGGTGCTGACAGGGCTGTGTCCCTGGGGTGGCTGCAGAAGGGCAGCGCTCTGGGGCTTCCCTGGTGCCAGGGTTCCCTCGGACGGGTCCCTCTGTGGGTATTTCCCGATGGGATCATGTGTCTGCCTGCATCCTGCTGTTTGGGGACTTTCCCATTTGTGACATCCCCGTTTTCCCTGCTCCTGCTCTCACAGACCTGTCGGCCGCCAAGCGCAAGTTCGCGGATTCCCTCAACGAGTTTAAATTCCGCTGCATCGGCGACGCTGAGACGGATGATGAGATCTGCATCGGTGAGTCCTGCTGCTCCTGGAGCCACCCGAGCAGGGCACAGCAGGGAAACACCCACAGGGACACCAAGGAATTGGTCTGGGAGCAGCACATTCCTCCTGTTCAACAGCAGCAAAGCCTTCCCCAGGGAATCAGCTGTTGCTGCTTGGCCTAAATCTGTCCCTGCCAGACAGGAAAGGGAGAAGATTGCCCGTATCTGAAACCATCCAAGCTGGATGTTGTGCAGTGGAGAGGAGAATCTGGGGGTGGTTGTGGCTGGGTACACTGCTAGGGGGTGTGCTCTGAAGCACAGGAGCAGCAGCCTCGCTGCTGGAGCTCAGGAGCCCGTGCTCGAGGGAATCAGCAGTGCCCAGCCTGGCCTCGCTCCCTGGGCTAAGCCTGGCTCTGCCACGGAGCTTTTCCTGGCACGGGGCAGTGCCTGCAGCCTCTTCCCTCTCTCACCCTGCTCCTGCCCCAGCTGAACTTTTAGAGCTTATTGTGCACATCATCTGGAGCCAGGAGAGCAAAGAAGCTTTAGCCCTGATTTAACTTTGCTCGTTTATTTGTGCCCAGTCTCTCAGCAGAAATAGCTCCTCATCCAGCTCTCCCTGGTGCCGTGCCCCTCGTGTGCTGGCCATGGCTGGGGGCCAGTGCTGTGCTCTGGGGCTGCTTGGTGACTGACTTGGGTAGGGCAGCTTTGGGCTGAGGATGTTGCTCTCTGGAGGAGGCAGCCTGGTCCTGGGGATGCTCTGCTGCTCTCCTGTAGGCAGCAGGAACCTTTCTAGGGAGAGAGCAAAGATAATAAAAACCCACAACCCCTCCTCCCAAAAACACAGACAAAACCCCTCTGAGCAGTTTCTGTTGTTAAGAATGGGATGTTGAACGCTGACTCTGTGTCTCTTCCAGCCAAGTCTCTGCAGGAGTTTGCCACGGTGCTGCGGAACCTGGAGGACGAGCGGATGCGCATGGTACGGCCCCGGAGCAGGGGTGGTGGCACCTGGGACAGCGTGGTGACAGTGACTGCCAGCCCCAGGGCTGGAGCTGCAGGGCAGGGCACAGGAAGGGGAGGGTGGGTTTGGTGGGGGAAACCTGAAAAACATCAGGAGTGGAGTTTTGATGCTGGAGAGCGGGCAGTGCTGCCGCTGGGGGGGCTCACAGGTTTGCAGGGATGGGAGGGGTGAGGCCTGTGGGTGTCTGGGGCTGTGGAAGGGTTTCCATGGGAAAGCTGAGGAGCAGCAGGTGAGCTGGGCCTGTCTTTGCCCCCAGATCGAGAACGCCAGCGAGGTGCTGATCACGCCGCTGGAGAAGTTCCGCAAGGAGCAGATTGGGGCTGCCAAGGTAAGGCAGGCAGTGCCCCCCGGAGCTGGCCAGGAGCTGGCACACTGCAGGATGGGCTCAGGCGTGGGAGGAGGCAGCGTGCTGCTGCGGGATGGACACGGGGGCCATGCAGCTCCTGGGAGGTGCCTCAGTGTTCTGAGTTCACCCACAGCCAAATAACGTGCCAAGGGCAAAAAACTTCATGCCAGCTGAAGCCAACTTTTTTCCTTACTGCGAGGAAGAATTAGGATTTTTTTGGAGGGGCTCACATTTTCCTGAGTGCCCCAGGCTGCACTCCCCACCCCAAAGCATGGCTGGGGGCTGCACGGGAACTCGGACGCTTCTGGCAGGACGGGGAAGCGCCGGTGTGGCTGAGGGCGGCTGCGAGACAGCCTGGCCCCCCTCCTCTTGCTTTCCTGCCTTTGTTCTGAAATGAAAACCACTGTCTGTGGCTCCCCTGTTGTTATAACAACCTGCTGCTGCCTGCAAGCAGCTGATGGCAGCGCCCGGGGCCGCACGGCAGCGGTGCCAGCCCGGCCTCGTGCGGCTGGAAACCAAACACGGAGCATCCTCCAGAATGGACCTGCTGACGAGCATGGACTGGGCCCTGGGGTACTGGGGTGGCCAGGCTGGGACCAGAGGTGCAAAGGAAAGGGGAGTTGGAGTCCTGAATGCTCCTGCCACAACAGAGGTGCTGTGCCACTGTCCCACGTGCCACGGCTGAGGAGCTCTTGCCAGGGGTGGTGGGCTGGGCTGGGGGATTGTGACAATGTTCTGCTTAGAAAGAACTTTTCCTCTGTTGTGTTTGGACCTGGATCTGGATGTTTTACCAAGCACTGGGCCCCAGGAATAGAGGAGGGGTTCCCTCAAGCCATGGCTTTTGGCAGCATAAGCTGCTTTCCTGGAGCTGCCTGATGCTGGCAGATAAAAGCAGCCTCACCTGCTTCCAGCTGCTGCCCCCAGGTGCTGTCTCATGCTGCTCCCACCTGGGGCTGCCATCCTGCCCAGTGCCACAGGGATGCTGTCCCACCTGCTCTGGGGCTGCTGGGTTCAGTGCCACGCTTTTTGTTCTGTTTTGCAGGATGCCAAAAAGAAATATGACAAGGAGACTGAGAAATACTGTGGTGTCCTGGAAAAGCACTTGAATTTGTCTTCCAAGAAGAAAGAGTCCCAGCTTCAGGAGGTGAGAGCAACCTCTGAGTTTCCATGTCTGACTGTGGAGAGCTTTTTGAATGCCTCACACAGCTTATAACAATGATTGTCCTGGCTGTAAACTCATTTTTTTCCCTCATTCTGGCTGTGGGTGCTGGGTTTTCCCCTTTTCCTGTAATGAAAGGATATGGAGCTGTCTTGGTGAGTAAATCAGAGAGATCCCAAAATGGATAGCAATCAAAAAGGAGAGAGGGTTTATAATTAAAGAGTGTAACAGAAAGGAACTGGTTCTGCTGCAGGCTTCCCATGTGCCAGCACAAATCATGGATGTCTGGTCTCCTCTGCAAGAGCCTGCTCTGCTTTGTGCTCCAGGGGAGGAGGGATCAGGCTTAGTGCCTTAAACTCTTTAAGAGCCATCAGTGATTGAGGAGGTGGTTAGCTGTGGTGACAAGTGCTCCTGCTGGAGGAGTGTGCTGAGTTTTCAATCACTTCTTTCAAGCCTGGAGCTCCCAGAGCTGGGTTGGTCCTGCAGGATCTGTGTCCTTGCCTTTGGGCATGGTGCAGGTGCTCTGCTGCTCCTTACTGGGGCACTGCTGGGCACGGGGCTCCTGCACCCAGGTACACCATGAAATTCAGAAATTCCTGAATACCTGTGGCACAGGGGATCATCTTCTGCAAATCAGGGCTGAGGAGGGCTTGGGATTTGGGCAGAGGTGGTTGCAAGCCAGCCTTGTCCTTGGGGTTTGGAATAACTCCCCACGTGGAAGCAGCCACGTGTCCCAGGGAGTGGTGGGTTCTGAATGAGCCTGAGCCCTTGGGTGGGTTTGTGTTTGGGATGCTCTGGGGCACAGGAGCTCGAGGAGTTCTGCCTGGGGAGGGGAGGATCCATGGGCAGCTGTTAGAGCTGTGAGCCTGTGCCAGAGCACAGCCCTGAGGGGCTGCCTGGAGGTGCCTCAGGGGATACAGGTGGGATCAGGGTGGGATGTGTGCGGGATGCTGGGTGGGATTCGGGATCCTGGGTGGGATTCTGTGAGGGATGCAGCACAGGATTCAGGATTCTGTTTGGGATTGTGTGCAGGATTCTGTTTGGGATTGTGTGCAGGATTCTGTGCAGAATTCTGTGAGGGATGCAGCATAGGATTCTGTTTGGGATTCTGTTGGTGATTCTGTTGGTGATTCTGTTCGGGATTCTGTTTGGGATTCTGTTTGGGATTCTGTTGGTGATTCTGTTGGTGATTCTGTTGGGGATTCTGTTTGGGATTCTGTTTGGGATTCTGTTTGGGATTCTGTTGGTGATTCTGTTGGGGATTCTGTTTGGGATTCTGTTTGGGATTCTGTTCGGGATTCTGCTGGGTTTGTTGGGATGCAGAGGGGATGCTGATGCTGTGCAGGTGCGCTGGAGCAGCGCTGGCTGCTGGTGCCATCTGGTGGCATCTCCCAGTCAGACCCTGCCTCGGGCTGCTGCCGGGAGGAGCCTGCAGCCGCTGGGAGCAGCTCCCAGCTCAGGTGCTGGCTCCTGTTCCCCCGTGCACTGGGAAATGTATTGGTGTGGTGTTTGTAGTGGTTTGTGTGGCTCAGACCCCACCGAGGGAAGGGCTACCTCAGAAAGGGGATTCAGTGTGGAGCTGTGAAATGTGGATGTGACATCCCTGGTGAGGGGGAATGCTTCCCAGAAAAGGGAGAGTTGCCTTTGCTTCTTTGCGTGCCAAGCTCATGGTGATTTCCATTTTCTCACCTCTGCTGTGTGTTTTCTACCCAGCTGTTGGGGAGCTGAGACCCACACCCATTTTCCTCAGCTGAAGGAAGAGCGTGCTCATGTGGATCTGATTTTTGTTTATTGCTGTGCCACCTGTCCAGCTGGGGCTGGGGGCTGGAGCTGGGTTTGCTGTGCTTGTGTTCCCATCAGAGCCAGCTCTGCTCCTTCCTGAGCTGCTGTTTCCTCTGCCACCCCTCTGCAGGCAGACAGCCAGGTGGACCTGGTCCGGCAGCACTTCTACGAGGTCTCCCTGGAATACGTCTTCAAGGTGCAGGAGGTGCAGGAGAGGAAGATGTTTGAGTTTGTGGAACCTGTAAGTGAGCTGGGGCTATGTGGTGAGATGGGGTCCTGGCAGGGCAGGGGGCCCAGCCTGCCCCACAGCCCCTCTCCCCAGGGCCCTCCAGGCAGACCCCTCCCCTCAGCAGTGCTGCCTCTGGGTCTCTACTGACCCTCCCCATTTGCTTTTTCCCAATGCAGCTCCTGGCCTTTCTGCAGGGGCTCTTCACGTTCTACCACCACGGCTACGAGCTCGCAAAGGACTTCAGCGACTTCAAGACAGAGCTGACAATCAGCATCCAGAATGTGAGTGTGTCTGGGGTGTCCCTGTGTCCGGGGTGTCCCTGTGTCCGGGGTGTCCCTGTGTCCAGGGTGTCCCTGTGTCCTGGGTGTCCCTTTGTCTGGGGTGTCCCTGTGTCCTGGGTGTCCCTGTGCCTGGGGTGTCCCTGTGCCTGGGGTGTCCCTGTGCCCGGGGTGTCCCTGTGTCCAGGGTGTCCCTGTGTCCTGGGTGTCCCTGTGTCCTGGGTGTCCCTGTGTCAAGGTGTCCCTGTGCCCTGGGGTGTCCCTGTGCCCTGGGTGTCCCTGTGCCCGGGGTGTCCCTGTGTCCTGGGTGTCCCTGTGCCCCCTGCCCATCACTGTCAGTGTCTGGCAGAGCCACCTCACCTTCTGGTGTATTTTATTTAAAGAATGCCAGACTGGTTTAGGTTGGAAGGGACCTTAAATCCCATCCAGTGCCACCCCTGCCATGGCAGGGACACCTTCTGCTGTCCCAGGCTGCTCCCAGCCCCGTCCAGCCTGGCCTGGGACACTGCCAGGGATCCAGGGGCAGCCACAGCTTCTCTGGGCAATCTGTGAAGAGAAGAATTTTTTCCCAATACCCAATCTAAATCTCTCTTCTTTTAGTTTAAATCCATTTTCCTTGTCCTATCACTATTGGCCCATGTCAAAAATCACTCTCCCTCTTTTTGTAAGCCCTCTGAAAGTTCTGGAAGGCCTTGCCAATGGTTGTAATATTTTTGCTTTAGGAAGCACAGGGTGCTCTGTGGCTGCCCCTGGGCTCCCCAGTCCCATTTCCCACAGGGCTGTAGGGACCCAGCCCCACCCCAAGTGCTGCAGAGCCAGGCACTGCTCCCTGCCCTGGAGAAGACATTCCTGTTTAATTTTCAGACAAGAAACCGCTTTGAAGGAACGAGGTCAGAGGTTGAAGCTTTGATGAAGAAGATGAAGGAGAATCCCCACGAACACAAAAACATCAGCCCTTACACGATGGAGGGGTATCTCTACGTGCAGGAGAAGCGTAGGTGTTGGGCTGGGGGATGTGGTGGGTGGGAGCCTGGGGAAGGGGCACGAAGGCTGATTCAGCAGGTACAGAATCCCTGCAAGACAGGGATTGACCCAGGGAGGGGGGAATTCAGTGGGAGTGTGGCAGCCAGGGAGAATCACTGCCACTGCCTTGTAAAAGTCCTTTAGGTACAGGAGTCTGGCACGTGAAATGATGGGTAAACACAGCAGGTCCTAATGTGAGGGCACTGAAACTGTTCTGGGCATGAACCCTGTGCTTGCTCTGCAGGTCACTTTGGCACTTCCTGGGTGAAGCATTACTGCACCTACCAGAGGGAATCCAAGCGCATCACCATGGTGCCCTTCGACCAGAAGTCGGGAGGAAAAGGGGTGAGTGCTGGCAGGGAGCAGCAGCAGAAGGAGCAGGATTAAAAGGGGTGAGTGCAGGGAGCAGGACTGGGTCCTGCCAGGGAACGTGTGGCACTGCAGCCTCTCCCAGGGCTCAACCTGTGCCACCTTTTTGGCAAGGTGACACAAGTGCAGTGAAGTGGGTCACATTCATTCCAGGCTGAGTGGCTGCCACACGGGGAATGAACTTGGCACCTGGCTTGGGAAAGAAAAGGCAGGAAACCCCCAGAGCCCACAGAGCTTTGCCAGCCACAAGCACCCAGCATGCTCCAGCTCCAGGGGTGCCTGCTCCCCAGTGCCTCGTTCCTGCTCCAAGGCACGGACTAGAGAACCTGGTCATTGTTTTGCTCCTTCTCCATTGCCTGTGACTTGTCCAAGGCCAGGCTGGACAGGACTTGGAGCAACCTGGTTGAGTGGAAGTGTCCTTGCCCATGGCAGGGAGTGGAACAAGATGAGATCTGAGTGCCCTTTCTACCCAAACCATTCTGTGAGTCTCTGCTGATCCTGTGACTCGGCCAATGAAGTTGTTTTGTTTTGGGCAGAGCCACAGGAGAGCCTGGAGCTCCAGTTGGCCCTGGGGAGGTGTGAGGAGCAGGGGGAGCAGTGGATGTGGGCTGTGGGGAGTATCCCAGTGCTCCCAGGGCAGGCTTTGCTCCTCTGGAGCCCTCCTCAGAGTTCCCAGCTGGGTTTGCAAACACAGTCCCCTTGCTGGGGAGTGCCTGGGGCAGCTGGACAGGCTCCCACACGGCTTCCTGCTGGCACAGGGAGCCGGCTGTGGGCAGGGAAGCTTCTAAAATTAATTTCCTCTTGCCTTGGAGCATCTTCATTATAGCTCAGCATTAACATATCCCAGCCCTGTAATCATCAGTGGCTGTCCTGTGTTTTGTCTGGTCCCTTCCCATTTCAGGGCTCTCCCAGCAGCCAGGGCCCCTCTCCAGGGCCAGGCTGGAGCCCCTGTGCAGGGCTGTGCTCACACTGTGACCTGCAGCACCCTGGTGTGGGACACTGCCCGTGCTGGGGCAGCCCTGGCCGTGGTGCCCACATGGACAGGTGAGCACAGAGCTTGCACTGGCACTGCTGCCAGGCTGCTGCACGAGGAGACCATCACTCCTGGCTCACAGCTGGTGCCAGCCCCCCGTGACCCTGGGCCAGGGCTGGGTATTGGTGGCTTTGGAGTGGGGACTTTCCTGGAATTCTGGGCAGAGGGGGAGCAGCCTTGTGCCAGCAGTGGGGCAGGCTGGGGGCACCAGGACAGGCCACTGCCAGACCCTGGGGAGAACCTGCAGGGAGCTCTTGAGGGTCTGTGCTGGGTGCCTTGCCTGGTCCAGGAGCCTTCCTGGGGAGTAGGAAACCGTGGGAGCACGTGAGAGGGAATGAGGGCTTCTCCCCAAAACGGGGCAGGTCCAGAGCCCCACAGGGGAGCATCACAGCAGGGCCTGCAAGTGGGAACAGGAGGGGCTGGGAGCCACGGTGCAGCAGGAAAACAGAGGTGTGGTGGGATGAGATGAGTGGGACTGTGCCAGGAGCTGAGTGATGGTGGCAGTGGGCAGGAGTTTATGGATAAGAACCAGGGAGTCACCCTCCCTGCGGGGATTTAATGGACATTCAGCTGTGGCACGTGAGGACCTGGGTTAGGGGTGGGCTGGGCTGTTCTGGGCAGCTTTTGGGCTCCGTGATCTTAGAGGTCTTTTCCAATCTAAGTGATTCTAAATATGTTTCCTGGAATAATGGTGATGTCAGGGAACAGGGTGGTCAGCCAAGGTGTCATCAGGAACAGCACAGAGAGCCCAGAAAAGTGTCTGTCTCCAGGAACTCCTTCAGAATTCATTTTCTCTTAAGTCATCAGTGGAATTTCACAGTTGCAGCAGAAGTGTCGGTGCTGGCAGGGGCTGAGGCAGGATTTCCTCCAGCAGAGGACAGCAGTGCTCACAGATCCTGCTGGATCACTGCTCAGCCCTGTGGAAATCCAGCACAGCTTGGATGCAAAGAGGCCTTCTCTGGATGGGAGAATGGTTTTGTCATTGCTTTGTTATATAATAAACATTTTAAGACGTGTTTGCTCCTGTTAAGAGTCCTGGTGTGCACAGTTCTGCCAGAAACGCAGCGTGGAGTGCAAACTGCCAGCAGGTCTGCAGAGCGTTGTTCAGCAGTGGAAAATAAAGCTGATTTTGCCCAAAAGTTGTGGTCCAGCATTACCTGCCCACATGAAAAATGGGTTGTGTAGTGCTTAATGCACAGATTGAGTCATGAGCCCCCTGAAGGGAAGGCTCCTCGTGAAGGGCTTTGGACTAAATATGGATGAAAAGACAAGTCCTCCTGCCAGAGATACAAACAGATGTCTTTAGCAGGGTGGTGTTGCCAGATGCCCCCAGGTTTGAACCTGCTCATTGACAGAGGTGGCTGCTGGGGACAGGCCTGTGGTTGCTGGTTGTTCTTGGCCTCAGCTGGGATTTTGTCTCTTCTCAGGGGGAGGATGAGGCTGTCACCCTGAAATCCTGCACACGGCGGAAAACAGACTCCATCGAGAAGAGGTTCTGCTTTGATGTGGAGGCTGTGGATCGGTGAGTGCTGCCAGGAAGCTCCAGGGGCTGTGGTGGCTGTGTGGAGGGGAGGGCTGTGCTCCTGCACGTGGCTGTGGGACAGTTCCTGTGCAGTTGCCGTGTTTCTCCCCTTCAGTCACGCCCTCCGTGAGTGAGAGCCCTAGTCCATGGAATCACAGCTTTCCAGCCACGTGCTCTCCGTGTACTGAGGCAGTGCTTTGGTTTACAGGTCTCTGACTCAAGTCTCTCTGACTTTAAGGGTGTTTTAGCACTTCTGCAGCCTCTGGCCACAGCAGGTGAGCAGTGGCCAGCCTGGAGAAGTGTTCTGTGGCTGCTCTGGGAGGGCTGTGCTGCCTCTTTCCAACGCTGGGTACGTGTTGGAATAGTGTCAGCTTTTCTGCTGGAGTGGCTGTTGCTGGTTCACCATGGATGGGTGATGATGGACCTCTGGCTTGTGCCTCCAGGCACTCTCACTCCTTTTTCCTGAAGAAGGAAACCACTTCTGCTGTGACTTACCACACAGCAGCTGGACCAGAGGTATGTGTGGATTCAAGCTCTGGCAGCCAGGAGTGAGAGCTGTTACCATACCAGTTAGCATGGTGCATGGCTGACCCATATAAACAGGAAAGGCAGGCTGCTGTTGCTATTCCAAGAGGAATTAGTCACTGCCCCGGGTCTCCCTCGCTGCAGAGGTTCACACAGTTCACAAAAGCCTGCTCCAGAGGCACTCACTGTGCTCTCCCAGCTGTGCCTGTCCGTGCTCCAGCTGCCCTCTCACCTGCAGGAATTCCCTGGAGGTCTCAGAAAAACCCAAGTTCATGAAAATGTGGGTGTTGAGTAAGCCCTGGTGGCTGTCCTGGCCGGGCTGGGCTCCGGCAGCGTTCCGGTGCCAGCCCGTGGCAGGGAGGGCTCGGGGTGGGGAGCTGAGCCTGCCTTGGCTGAGGGATGAGATAACCTGGGGCTGCCTCCCACTCTCTGGAGCTGTGCTTTTCTCCAGAAAGTTGCAGAATTTCTGCTGACACAGGAATTTATTTTTTTTTTTTGCTGTGCCCTGGGGATATTTTCTTATAATGTGAAAAGCAAACTAAAAGTGTGAGAAGGAGAATGGAGCCACAATAATTTACTTCAGCGTGTTCAGAGGCAGCTGAAGCTTCCCTTGATGTTTGGAGCCTGCCAGGCACGGGATCAGGAGCTGCTCCAGAGATCTGCTGTGCTCCATGTAAATCATGGCAGGGGAGTAGCACAGGAAGGGGAAACCTGAGGAGTTTCTCCTTTCATGTCCACACTCCTGCTGCAGGGATTTGCCTGAGAGGGCAGGGGAGCAGGACACACCTGAAGGAAAAAGCTGTTTTTTCCCAATATACAGGCAGCTCTGCATTCTCTTGTATCAGAATTTGTCACTAGATGTCTAAAACATTGGGTATTCCCAAGATGGACTTGAGAAGAAGAGGAAACAACAAGTTTTTCTGGGCACCACCAGGGCATCAGGCCCTGCTGTCAGTGCAAGGTGTGCTGGAGATCACCTTCACCCTGCCAGGCTCCCAGGGCTGGGCTGTTCCACAGCTCTGGGGACAGCCTGGAGGTGGCAGCCTCGGCTCTTCCTGCACAGAAATGGGCTTTTGTCAGCCTTGGGAACTCAGACACCTCGGGCTGCTGGGCTGGAGCTCAGCACTGACACCCTCAATAGCACCAGCTCAGAGCTGTTCCTTCTTAGGTGGGAAAAAAAGTGTGTTTTTTCTCCTGTAAAGATGATTCAGCACAACCAAGCTGGAAATCTGGAGCCTGGTCTGTTATTACAGCATTGCTTCCTTGTCACAGAATCCCAGAATAGTTTTTGTTGGACCTTAAAACTCATCTCATTCTGCCCCCTGCCATGGGCAGGGACACCTTCCACTAGAGCAGGTTGCTCCAACCCCCATCCAACCTGGCCTGGCATTTACAAATAGTTCTTGTGTTCAATGTAGCAAGTTAGAGATTATTGTAGCACAATATGTTATATTGTGTTGTTACAGCAAAATGAACCCCAGAATGGTGTCCCAGGGTGAAATACACCCCCAGTGTGATGGATACTGTGTTTTACTGTTAATGCTCTTTTTTTTTCATTAACTAAACTTGTTTGTACGTTAAATTAGATTTGTAAACAAGGTGAACAGGGATGACAGCCAGTGTCTTACAAAATGAGCCTGGGGAGGAGGAGTATGTCATTTGACTGATGACAAGGGCCTTGTCATTTAGGATAATGTAGGTCACTGCTCTGGGCCAGAAATGAACTGCTTCCAGGTGCCAGCTGGCTTTTAGGGGAGCAGGAGGCTTTCAAATGCAGGCCTTGGCCTCTTGGTGGGTCACGAGGGCAGTGAACTGTGCAGGTACCAGCCCTGGACTCTGCCTGGTGCACAGTGGCATTGCAGAACCAGAATCACAGAGTCACTGAAGTGGGAAAAGACCCCCACAGCATCGAGTCCAGGCTGTGCCTGATCCTCACCTGTCCCCAGCCCAGAGCACTGACCAGCCCTTCCCTGGACACCTCCAGGGATGGGCACTCCAAACCTCCCTGAGCCCCCTGTCTGTTGAAAAATCCTTCCTGAAGGAATTGGCACGGTGGCTGGGTGGTTGGCATGGGGGTGGGAGAGCTGCCAGGCACCTGCCAAGTGCTCCCCTCAGCAGATGGATTTCCCCAGGAGGGCTGGTGGCCTTGCTCTGGGAGTGCAGCTGCCAGGGCCAGGGCTCTGACTGTGGCAGGACCTGTTCCCTGCTCACCTGGACCTGTTCCCTGCTCACCTGTGCCAGGTGAGCCCAGCTCTGCCGTGTCCCCGGGCCTCTCGTGCGGTGCAGCCTGTCCCCGTTCCTCTGCCGGTGTCACCTTTCCAGTGACCTTTCAAACAAAGCCTCAGGGCTGTCACAGCTGGGGAGGGATGGCTTGTCACAGTCAGGGATGAGGCTCTTTCCCCTTGGTGGCCACGGTGGCCCCGATCCCTTGCTGGTGGCTGAGCTGGAGCTGCTCTGGGCTCCGTGTGGACGCTCAGACTTGCTGAGCTCAGGGTCAGTTTCCCTCTTAATTCCATTTTTGGGGCCACCTGTGGCTGCTGGTGCCTGGCCATGGCCCTGGGGTGGAGTCTGGGCTGCACTGCTGTGCTCAGGCTCAGAGCATCTCTGTGCACTCAGCCCAGCTCAGCCCCTGTTGTTATTGCACTCTCGTGTGTTTCCATCAGCAGTTTAGATTGTCTCGCTGTGATAAGCTGCTACAGCAGTTGGAAGTTCTTATCTGTTTCTATTGCTTTCCTTATTTGTTTGTTTTCCTGGAAGAAGGAAAAGCTATTGCAGTTTCTCATTTTCTCAGTGTGCTTAGTCACAGCTCCTTAAGGCCAGGCCATTTGTCACAAAAGCTGAGATATTGAGAAAATTCAAATTTCCTGTGTGGTCTTATATGGAAAAATCTTCCATTTTTAGATTGTAACATATTGAAAATACTCTTTCTTATTAAGTGTTTGCCATGTTCTGCTCTGGTCTCACCCTCCTACACTCACTCCATTTTGATATGAATTTCTTCTGATCCCAAAATGTCCCTTCCCCTCCTCGTGTCCCAGAAAAAGGCAAAGGGGTTTGGTGCCCGCAGGTGGAAATGTGGGATGCAGCACCTAGGAGTGAATCAGCAGGTCCTGGCTCTTGTTTGCCACAGCAGCTCAGGTTTGTGCACCTTGGGTGACAGATCCAGGAGGGTGTCCTGCTGTCCTGAGACACGGCTGGGGTGGCTCCAGGTGCATCTCTTGTTGGGAGGAGGTGGGAGCTGCCCACAGCAGAATCTGTATTCATTGTATGTTATCTCTGTAAATAATTACCTGTCACCCCCAGTACTCAGGGCCATTTGTTGGGTGAGGGGACAGATCTGTTTTGTTTCTCTTTTGGGGAGGGATGTCAGAGCAGGTTTTGCCGTGGCTGGAGGAGATGATGGCGGTGAGGAGCTGTGGAAGGGGCTCGGTGAGGATGGTGCTGTTTGCAGGCAGTGATCCCAGCAGGGCTGCTGCTGCTGGCAGAAGCTGCTCCAGTGCCATCCGACCTGGCAGTGAGCACATGGAGCCCCGTGGGCATCATTGGCCACATCCATAATGAATGAGGTGTAATGTGTGGGTGCATTTTAAATTTATCGCAGCCAGGAAGATGGCTCTGCTCAGGAAAGTGATGCAATGGGTGCCCTGGCAAGTAAACACTGGGGGAGGAAATGCAGAGCTATTTGCATTGGAAATCGGGTTTGATTCAGCTTCACAGCCCCTCCCCTCATGCTGTTAAAGAAGTTTGACTTTGAAGTGAAGCCCTAGGAGTTGATATCTGCTCAGAGGCTGAACAAATGTTTTGCTGTTATCACTTGTGCCCTGTGCTGGGGGAACCTGGCACTGCCACTCTGGGACCCTGCTCTGCCACTGGGAGCCCAGTGCCCAGCATGCCATGAATGGAGGGTTTAAATGCCTCTGTTCTAATGGCTTGGCTAAAGAGGCAGAAATCCCAGAATTTCCTTCCTGTGTGTCCCTAGCTGAGCTAGAGCCCTTCCAGGGCTTTCTGAGTGAGGTGTCTGTGCCTTCAGCAGCAGCTTGGCTTAAAGTCAGACCCAAGCCCAGGCTGAAGTGGCCACTGCAGCTCCTCAGGTACCAGGGACTGCTCTTGAGTCACTTTGTACCTGCACAGGGAGCTCTGTGCACTGCTTTGAACATATTTGCTGTCGGATGAGGAGCGTTTTCCCTCTCAGATGGGGCAATGGTTAAGTGGTTTCCTCTTCCCTCTGAAGTGAGTTAACTTCCAAACCACTAAGCTGGTGAGTATTGACTGACTCACCAATGGGATTAGCAGAGATCAAGCACATTATGTCTGGTTTTTGGACCTGGGCACAGCTTCCACTGGTGGGACAGTGCTGAGCTGCCGTGTGCGTGCTGGAAGCTGGGCTGCTTGGATGGGGAGTGGGGTCAGGGAGAAGGGTTAATCCTCAGTTCCTGGCCTGTGTGTGCCACAAAGCAGCAGGAGAAGGGCCAAACCCACCTCTTGAGAGCCCCTGTTAAAGTTTAATTTTCTTACAGGCTCTTATCAAGGACCAAAGGGCATCTGCAGAGTGTTGGTGCAGCTCACGTTTTCCTGCTGAATCGCCCCAGGGAAGTCCAAGTTAGAAATCACCCCTCTGCCCAGGCTTTATCAGGTTTTTTTGGGGGTTGAGAAGGGAGCAGAGCCTTCGTGCTCTGTGGAACACTCACAGGCAGTTGGCAGCTCCTGAGCTTCCATCCCCCTTCCCTTCCCTTCCCTCCGTGTGCCCAGTGCTCCCGTGCTCTGCTGGGGTGGGAAGAGCAGCACCGGGGGCTCTCTGCTCTCCCAGCTTGTGTGTCTGCATCCCCAGGGCAGGGAGCACCAGCAGCCTCCCTGCCTGCTCCCGTTGCCAGGGAATCTGCTGCTGCTGCTGCTGCTGCGTCTGGGGAGGGAGCGGCAGCACCGGAGCGCACACGGACAGCTCTCGGTGTCTGAGCCCGGGGATGTGGCCACCCCTTGGGGCTGCAGAGCCAGCACAAAGGCACAGGGCTGGGGGCTGCAGGCTTAGCCAGCTGGGAGTGTTGGGATGCAGGATGAGCTGGGATGTGGAGATGGAAACCCTGGCAGCCCAGCACGGCACAGTGAGATGGCAGCTCCTGGTGTGGGATCACAGCTCCCACCCTCTGTGTCCCCACACCCCCCACACCCGAGGCTGTGCAAACATTCTGATTGCCAAAACCACCCTCACCTTGCTGGTCACGCTCAACAGAGCAGGTAATTGAGGTTTGACTCCTCGCATGGGAGGGGTGGTCCAGGAGTGGAGGCTGCCTCCACTGAGGAGCGTGGAGGTGGCGTTGTCCCTCGGGCAAGGGCAGTGCCAGAGCTGTCCCCTGCTGCTGTGCTGTGTGTGCAGCACTCAGGCCTGTCCCTTCCCCTTCTCATTACAGTAAATGAGCAGTCCCAGGGCTGTTTGTTCCAGGCTGGGCTGACAGCTCAGGGCTGGTGTGTGTGTGACAGTGCTGGGGGCAGGAGCAGCACCCTGGGGCACCCCGGACTCCTGCACTGCTCCCCTGTGAGGCTGCAGGAGGGGACACGCAGCAGAGTCACTGCCACTGCTGTGTCTGTCAGCAGGGTAGGGACAGGGCTGGGGGCTGGCACAGCCACGAGGGCACGAGCAGCTTGGGGATGAAATGCTTTGCACAGCAGAAGTTTCCTCCGTGGGGCTGGTGCTCGGGGTGGTGGTGAGACACGGGGGATGTGTGGGGCTTGCTCCGTTACCTTCCTTGGTTACCTTCCTTGCCTTCTCCTGCCATTGCATGGACGTGTTTAACCCGGTGCAGGTGAGCTGGCTGAGCGCCACAGGAGGAATTTGGCACCCAGCTCTTGCACAAAACCACTGGAAAGGTGCGTTGGTTGCTGGAGATGTCCTCTGCTCGCTTACTGATCCCGCTCAGGACCTGCAGGGATGTCCATGGCTTTTGTCCTCCTTGTGCTGGGGTCCAGCTGGGAAGGAGCTTGCCCTCCTTCCCTCTTCCTCTCATGACGAATTCATCTCTGGCACCTTTGCTTGCCGCGGTTCACTGACGCCGTTCCCTTTCTCCCGGCAGGCCCGGCGTCATCACCATGCAGGCGCTGTCGGAGGAGGAGCGGAGGCTGTGGATGGAGGCGATGGACGGCCGGGAACCGGTGAGCAGGAGCTGTGGCCCCAGAGCAGAGGCAGTGCTGGCCAGCCCGGGGCACATTGCTCGCTGTGGAGCCGCTGGCACGCAGCGCCGGCCGGCCCGCGCCGGAGCTGGATCCGTGTGGCAGCTCCTGCCTCCTGCCAAGAGAATCCTTTAATCCCTTGGTTAAATATTTGAGGTAATACTGTATCTCCCGTGCTTGGATTGCTTGGAGGTGCGGTGGAGAGGAGGAGGGTAGGCTTGGCCAGCACAAACATGCTGCTCTGCCGTGCTGAAAGGAAAACATGGCAAAAAGAGCAGTGGAAGAAAATACGTTGTAGATTTCCAGGGCTTTTGGAGTCCTGCGACTCCTTGGCAGCCGTTGCTGGGTCTGCTGGAGAATTGTACGTTTCGTGTGAGCGGAGGAGTGTGGCCCCTGTTCCCTGGGTTTGCTCCTGCTGTGCCAAAGGCTTCCTCACCTCTGGAAGGGATTCTGGGGCTTTTCAGGAAACTCACTGTTTTTAGTTTTTATTTTGGAATGCGTTTGCAAACCTTACTGCCAGCTTGAGGAGCGTTGGCTGGTTCTGAGCGGGTCCCGCACGGTGTGGCCCATCCCAGCTTCGTGTGGTGACTCTCCCGTGGCACTGCCGAGCAGCCAAAACCAGTCTGTGGCCTCTGTGCCTGCTCATGGCCAGCAGGGTTTTGGGATATGAGGAGAAGCCATGTGGAGAGGCAGAGCAGGCTGGGCTGTTCCGTGACAGCCCGGGTGGCTTTGGAGCGGCTGTCTGCGCGCAGGGTGTCCCATCCCAGCACAGCCTGCTCCCACAGCCTGGTCCTGGTTTGAGCAGATCCCCCCCAAATCCATGGGAAGGTTCTCGTTTGTCAGGAGAGGCGTTCATTGAAGGCGGGCGGACACGCGAGGCTGTTCCGTGAGCGCCGGGCAGCTCGCGCTGGGCTGGGTCGAGCGCTCGCCTCTGGAACGTGCAGCAGCTGGGAGATGGGGAGGCTGCCTGTGGGAGGTGCTGCCCTGCATTTCAGGGAAAGGATTGCGTGGTGGATTGCAGCCAGGTCCCAGCCTGGAGTCGTAGATCCATCAGGTAATTCAGGTAGGACGGGAGCTCAGGAGGTTTCTGCTCCAACCTCCTGCTCAGAGCAGTTGCTCGGGTGTTACCGCTCGGGAGCTGAGAGCATCCGAGGGAGGAGAGGCACAGCCTGCCTGGGCTCCAGCCCAGCTGCTTCCCTGGCCTCCTGACCCCAAGGCTGAACCTCTTTTGTTTCAATTTGCACCCACCCAGAGAAGCTTGGTTACCCCATCCCTGGCCCAGATCCACGCTGGACAGGGCTTGGAGCAGCCTGGTTTAGGGGAGGGTGTCCTTGCCTAGGGCAGGGGCTGGGACTGGATGAGATTAAAGGCCCCTTCCAATTTAAACCATTCCACCATTCTCTGGTTCTGTGACAGCCAGTGAGGTCTGATTTTTCTATCCCCTGTTGAAAAGGGGCCCTTGTCTGTGAGAAGCAGCTCCTCCACCCTTGGCTCCTGAGCCCTGGGGCAGCTCTAGTGGCACAACCCTCTCCAGCTCCAGGTGCCAGCTGTCTTGATCCCTCCTAAACAAACTCCTGCCTCCATTCTGGTGCCACCACTTCTTCAGAGACAAAATGTGCATTGTTGCTCCTAATCTGAACAGAGTCTTGTGCTCCTGCAGCCTGCTCAGCAGCCTCCCACTGCCCACCTCTGCTGTGGCAGGGCTGGCAAAGCCAGGCAGGGTGACAGGAGCCACAGGGAAGCGCTCACCCCTCTGTGTGTGGAGCTGCTGATGTTTCCAGGATGCAGAGCCCGTCTGCAGCGGTGCAGATACAGATTTTGGGGACTTGCAAAGAGCTGTGCATGCAAAAGGTTCTGTGGAGCAACCAGGACAGGACTGCCTGGATTATCCTGTTCCAGATTCTGCTTATGAGAACTCCAGGTTGTGGTGCCAGCTGAGTGCTGCTGTTGTCCCCTGCTGTGCCCATCACCGAGTGGGGCCAGCTGGCTCACCCAGCACGTCAGGGGTTGTGGCTGTGCATTAATGCCTTGTGCCATAATTGCTAATGGCTTACACTGTCCTTCCAGGTGTGCAGGGGGAATGCCTCCTGCATGGAAACAGACCCAAGAGACACTCTGCTGCTGAGGGTGGTGTGTGTTGACACATGAGGCAGCTCCTCGTCCTCAGTTATCCTCCTCCAGCCATCAAAAATGCAGCTGTGGGCTGTTCTGTTTGGGTTCTTACCTTGCAACACCAGGGTGCAGCGTGTTATCTATTCCACGGGGATTTCCTTGAGCAAGAGATGAGATTGAACCTTTGGACTCCTAGAAATATCCATCCTGTGCTTTGACTGTATTTCTGTAACCAAAGAACCCTGCTGGGAAGAATGTCTGGTTTTCCTTTGGTTTGACTGTAGAGTGGGCAGGGATTGGCACGGTGGGGATGGTAATTCCACCTGCAAATTCAGGCTGTGGAGAGATTAGCGTGGACTGGAGTTTGTTTCTTGATTACAATGAAAAAAGTAAACCCAAATGTCGAATTACATCTCAGTGGGATTTAAACATAGAACGTGGCTGCATTAGCCAAGACATTTGTCACAACTTGAGAAGATTTCCGCTGTGTCTCGCAGTCAGAGCAGCCTCCAGACAGCTCTCATCACGCCGTTAACTCTTACCTCTTGTATTCATCTGGATAAAGCCCCCGTGTTGACTTTGGGTTTTCTTCCATGCTGCAGAGGCTGGAAACAGGAGAAGCTGCTAAGTCCATGTCGGAGCAGTGGTGTTTGGTTTTGTTAAGATACTCAGGATCAGTTTCTTATGGATTTTCTCCTCTGCTGATGCAGTTTGCAAATGTATATGGTGGAGGCCAGAGCAATTGTGAAACTTCCTTGGAAGCTGAGTCAGGAATAAAAGCTGTGTTGGCTGATGGTGGCTGTGCTGGGCTGTGGGTTTAGGAGAGGCACAAATTAGGCTGTGTCTTGTGGCAAAGAACAAGGTAAGCATTTAGGGAAGGTTGTGGAGAATGAGTGTGGAGGAGGCTCAGGGGGACCTGCTGGCACAACTCCCTGACAGGAGGGGACAGCCAGGTGGGATTTGGGCTCTGCTCCCAGGGAACAGGGACAGGAGGAGAGGGAACGGCCTCAGGCTGGGCCAGGGGAGGCTCAGGGTGGACAGCAGCAGGAATTTCCCCATGGAAAGGGAGCTTAGGGACTGGAGCTGCCCAGGGAGGGTTGGATCCCCATCCCTGGAGGTGTCCAGGGAAGGGCTGGAGGTGGCACTCGGAACTCTGGGCTGGGGACAAGGTGGGCATCGGGCACAGCCTGGATTCGATGGGCTGGGAGGGCTTTTCCCACCCCAGTGCTGCTGGATCCGGAGCCAGCCCCGAGCCGGGGGTGCCCCATGGCCGCTCCCCACTAGATGGCAGCTGAGACCGGCCACTGGGGCCACTGTGTCCCCCGGGGCTGTGCCCTCCGTGCCCCGGGCTCTGCCAGGCTCCTCCACATGGGCTGGGCATGCCAGGGGGCCACGACCCTCCACCACTCCAGCTGTGCTCCCAGGGCACTGGTGATGGGTGGGATGTGCCTCTGGAGCTCCCTGTGCTGTGCTCCTGTCCCAGCTGTGCTCCTGTGTCACATCTGTCACTGCTCCTGTCCCAGCTGTGCTCCTGTGTCACATCTGTCACTGCTCCTGTCCCAGCTGTGCTCCTGTGTCACATCTGTCAGTGCTCCTGTGTCACATCTGTCACTGCTCCTGTGTCACATCTGCCAGTGCTCCTGGAGCTCCTTCAGCCCTGCTGCCCAGAGATGCCAGCAGTGTTTGTGTGGCAGTGACAGCAGAGCCCAGCCCCACATTCCTGCCCAGCACACCTCCCGCCTCCTCCTGGGATATTGCTTCTGGGAATTCTTTCTGAAATTGTTTTTCATTTTCCTTGTCTAATTATACAAAATGGTGAGAGATTTATTTCCCAGTGGAAACGTTGTCTTTTGAACTCACTCCAGTGCTTTCAACCTCGGCATTCCTGTTATTTTGGCTCATTCAAAAAATGAATTCACTTGAAGGACTTCAGTCCCAGCGTGGCTGTGGGGGATGGACGGGCACCCACTGCTCCCTTTCCCAACCCCTTACACTGCACTGGGACTCCCTGGAGCTGCAGATCTGCTCCATCATGGGAATTCATTCCAGAAGAATCCTCACCCAGAGCATCTCTGAGCACAGACGGTGTCTGTGGCCCGAGCTCCCTCCCGGGGAGCCGTGGGCGAGCGCTCGCCGTGTTCTCTGCTCTGCTCTCCCAGGCTCTGCGCCGTGTCTGCCTCTTCAGTGCCTTCCCTCACAGCCTCTTTCATGCTGAGCTTTGATTGTGCTCTCAATCCCACAGACGTGTTTTTGTCAGCTTTCTGGAAAATATGGTTTTTTTGTGCACTCTGTCTTGCAGGTTTTCATGGCCTTCATCCTGCCTGGGTTTGTTTGCTTAGAGCAGATTTCTTTTGTTGTTCCCTATGACCTGAGTCATTCCTGTTGCTGCTTCTCCATCTCCCTGTCTCTCTCTTTAGCGAACAGAACATTTTTTCCCCACTCTGGCCACTCTTAATATCTAAGTTTCTATTGTTTGCTGCTTCTCTTTGCCTCTAATCTGTTCCCCAGCCCAGACAACCCAGTGAACTTTCCCTGGACTGCAGCTCAGTCTTTCTGGGCTCGGGGACATCGGTGCCACCTCCCAGAGCGGGGAGCCGTGGTGATGGTGAGTTCCACTGGCACCCACACAGGCCCAGGGGAGCCCCTGCTTGGCTTTTTTTGCTCAGGATTATTGCTCAAAAAAATTCTTTGTCCTTTTTGGGGACAAGTTGGAAGCAGAGGAGCCTCAGAGAAGCAGGTTCCGTGTCATGATCCGTGTCAGTTCTCAGATCACGTGCTCTTCCCTCCGTCTCCCTCTCCTCTTTGGTAACCCTTTAAGCCTGTAATAGCAGTAACTTTACATGGAGTTTGTAAGCTTTTATTTTGCTTCT